TCCGTCGGGGCAAGGGTATAAGTGTCGGGAAGCGCTAGGCGTACTAGTGCGCACCAGGGCGAATTGCTATACGCCATGGAGTGCCAGGAACGCTCCATTCTTCTCTGGAGAGGCAGTTTGTCTCCCGAGCACCCTGTGCGCCCTGAGCGCCCAGAGCGTCTGGCGGAGGTTCCGGGTTTGCTGATGCACCCAAATCTATTCTAAATACTCTGAATAAGCAATTGCTGTCTGGTCAGTTGTTTCCGCTAGTTCCTAGGATCCCGATCCGTTCTTGGCAGAGATTGCGAGATTTGACTCGGACGAAAATTCGTCCGCGGTGTGGTAGCAACTCTTCTCTTCCCCCTCATAGAAAACAGTTCCTGTGCCCCCCAACTATTTGAAAGGCGGACGGCCAGTGAACAAAGGAAAGAAAAAACCTGAACAAAGCGCGCCGAACTTCCATAAAAGAACTCGTTTGCCCCAGGTTGGCCTCTGGGGGGATCAGCGAGTCCTTACCAACGAGGAGACCCCTTAAAGTTATTAAGTTTCTAGACTACAAATAACGATCAAACAAATAAACTCTATCTTTCCATCGAACGAGCCCAATCATAACTGGGTCGTTCCTTTTTGCCATTTCTACCTGATCAAAGTCACGTTCGTTCCTTTTTGCCATTTCTACCTGATCGAAGTCACGGTCGTGCCCCAACATAGCACCCCCATTACAGCTAGCCAGAGTGAAGCTCTGAGTGCTCAGCGATTCTTTACATCCTCCGAGCATGATAAGTCCGCCAGTAGTGGCAGGGACTATGCCTGGGAAAATTTACAATAAGCGGAGAGCTCTACAGCAACGATTAAGCTTACACCTGAGCGGCAGCTCATTCATGCAGGTTCCGGTTGTGTGACAACCAATACTGCAGGTGTTACAAAGGCTTTGACTAAGGGTGGTTGCCTTCGGAACCGGAAGCACCCGCTAACGCTTAGAGAGAAGCGGGGTAGGGGTGGTATTGCTTCCCTTCCGCAAGAAGACATCACCGGAACTTAGTAAGGAAGTAGGAGCAGTGGAAATGAATCCTTCGGAGTATAAGTACTCAGGATCCTTCCCGCCCAACTATCCGATTTTCTCCAGTCTTCATCAGAAAAGTTATCAAGTATTTTACTCGGTAGCAGAGCCCTTAAAGATTATTGAGTTTTAAGCGAAAGAATCTTTGAATACTATAAACCTGATTCCTATCTTGCACGGCCACATCTTTCTATCGGATTCTAGCGATACGTGGAAAGACTGTCCCCGTTACAGGTATAGACTCGTTAGTCATTACTCCCATGAATAGATCCTCTTCCTAGCGCTCAGAATGTGGTTACTCGGACAGCTGGTAGCTACCCACACTGCCGGTACTTGCATGTCACTGTGCAACTGGCTTCTAACAATAACTCTCAGCATGTAACCGGGCCCTGTGTGTACTCATACACCAGACAGTTGAAATGGCTCCATTACACGCTTAGAGAGAAGCGGAGTAGCGGTGGTATTGCTTCCCTTCCGCTAGAAGGCATCACCAGATCTTAGTAAGGGAGTAGGAGCAGGGAATGGAATTCTTTGGAGTATAAGTACTCAGGATCCTTCCCGCCCAACTATCCGATTTCCTGAGTCTTCATCAGAACTAACAAGTATATTCTACTCGGTAGCAGAGCCCTTATAGATTATTGAGATATTAGCGATAAATCTTTGGGAATAATCTAAAACCTGATTTCTATCTTGTACGGTCACATCTTTTCTATCGGATTCTAGCGATACGTGGAACGGCTGTCCCCGTTACATAGAGTTTGTATGGAATCATTATTAGAGCTACTTTTTCTTGTATGCATATAATGTACCATACCAAAAACCCTAGGAGGGACTCGGGACGAGTCTACCGGAGAGGGGGGTAGTGTAACAGGGCCACAGTAGGGCTGTTACAAAAAAAGTACCTCTTCTACCAGTCAAGCCATACGGCCCTAGGGTAACCACAGCTTGTTCTTCATCGATGGGTGAAGACAAGGGCAGACGAGCCCCTACCTCTATTGGTATGGAGGGTAGGGATCCTGGCGAGCAAGAAGTCTTACAAGTCAAGCTAGGCGACTGGACCAAAACTAGAGCAGAAGGACGAGCATGCCAAATAAGGAAGGGTAACCCCAAACAAGTTACCCTAGCTTGGCAGTCAACCTTGGAGGCGCAATAAATTTGCAACCGATGCCCGGAAAATATGCTTTACCACGTCAGAAAGGATCCTGGCGATGCTCTGGTTCATTTGGGGTGGTTGAATGAACGCATTGCGGAGTTGAGGAAACACTGCAAAATAAACACGTTTTAGACCCCCAAAAATAACCTCCGGAGCGTCGAACCGCCGGAACCCTCCTGTTTCAGCCCGGTGCATCTTTGGGGAGAAGGAGTACGTCCTAAGCTACCAAAGCAAACCTTCGCTTTACAAACACCCAAATCTATTCTAAATACTCTGAATAAGCAATTGCTGTCTGATCGGCTGTTTCCGGTAGTTCCTAGGATCCCGACCCGTTCTTGGCAGAGATTGCCAGATTTGAATCGGACGAAAATTCGTCCGCGGTGTGGTAGCAACTCTTCTCTCCCCCCTCATAGAAAATAGTCGCTGTGCCCCCCCCCGACTATTGGAAAGGCGGATGGCCAGTGAAAAAAAAAGGAAAGAAAGAACCTGAACAAGGGCGCCGAACTTTCATAAAAGAACTCGGTTGCCCCAGGTTGGCCTCGGGGGATCTAGCGAATCTTTACTAGCGAGAAGACCCTTTAAAGTTATTAAGTTTCTAGACTACAAATAACGATCAAACAAATAAACTCTATCTTTCCATCGAACGAGCCCAATCATAACTCGTTCTATTCCTTTTTTATCATATCTACCTGATCAAAGTCACGGTCGTGCGCCATGATGGGGCATCCCCGTTACATCAGGCCCCACAAAATTTTCAAGCCCGTATATCGTAGAGTCCGCCAGGCGTCCTTTCACCTCGTGCATCAAGTGGGAACGGACACGGGAGTGCAGACTTCTGACCTATCAATCTCAATTATGCTTCCAGAGCACTCGTAATCCTTTTGGGGCACTCACCTGTTTAATAACGACCTCATCAAGGTCTACTCTACACCCCACTCGGCGACTAGCAGTTGCCCACATGCTCACTACCAGTACCGAAAGTCTTGCTGCAGGTGGAAAGGGCTCATGTAGAAGAGTATGCTCCCCGATTAACACGCTACACTCCTTCTCAATCCTCTGAGCCTGCACTGACAGCACATTTGCACTCCTAGAGTTAGGGACCACAGACCTCTGAGTCAATTGGCTCGAAGGAATATCGCCAGTGTTCTCAAAGATGTCGTGCGTGTCTTCCAGAATACTACCCGCACTTCCCGGAATCAAAATCCCCTCGCTTTCTGGAATCAAAATACCCTCGCTTTCCGGCATCGGAGTACTCTCGTCCTCCTCCCTAGATGAGGAAAGGTACTCGATTTCGTAGACCCTTCGCGATCTACCTTGACCGTGAAGTTGGCTTGAAGGAATCTGACGACTGCTCATAGAGTTCTCGCCAATTACCTCGCTAGGCGGTGATGAACGATATGTCCGGTAAGTGGGGTACGACTCCCCGTATCGAGAGCGCATCCAGGAAAAATCGATATGGCGTGTAGAAGAGGTATACTCATGAGCATAAACAGGTGCAGAGGGCATAGACTGTGAGGGTGTTGGGGGTGCTCTCTGGGATGCTGGGAGTGCTCTCTGCGATGCCGGGAGTACTCCCTGGGATACATTTTGGCTGGGTGCTGAAGTGGGTGCTGCTCTCCCTTGACCTTGTTTACGTATTACTTTCGCGCCCGGTCGAGTTCCCCTCTGAATCGTTAGCCACTAATACTTAGATGTTAAAAAGCATCAATGAGCGAGATAGAGTCGAACCTGTACCACGTCCACCGACACGTTGGAAGAAGCAATGACCTCTGCTACCGCGCCAGTTGGTTTCCTCCGAGCATTGCCCACTGCTCTGGCAGTAATCGGCTGAACTGTATGAGGTCTCTTTCCGACAGTCTGAGACTTCTGGGTATAAGATTGGGGGGGGGGGGCTTGAGGTTCATCCTCCGGTTCATCCTCATCCTCCTCAGAGCTCTCGTGGTCATTCTCCAGAGCATCATCATAGTCTGAGTGGCTAGTATCAACTGTTTCTTCCACCTCTGGTGCCTCAATTGCCTCGGGCTCCTCCTGCACTTCAAAATTATCAGTATGATCCTCGGGGAGATGAAATTCTACCCTCCTAAGGCTGCTCCTCCCAGTGGGGGTTTCGGAGGAACGGAGAAGACCTTTCCGAGTTATTTGAGCGGCGGTGGTCGATTGACTACTCGGAGTGCAGGCTGGCAGTGGAGTCAATGTTCGGTAAAATATTTCAGACTCGTCAGTCAGTAAATCTTCATGTTCTTCAGGTCGTTTTGGGAGTCGTGGGTGCTTTGGGGCAAGAGGTGCTGAACCAGAGGAGCACTTGGTGGGAGCCATTCTGATGATTGGCAGGAATATCCGCAGTGCTCTAGGAGCACTCGCGATATCTTCGATTAGAAATCAATTCTTGGCGAGAGAATTTGCACCGCTAATCAAGAAAAATTTGCACCCCTAATCCTCTTACGGCAGGGATCATCCTATGTTACCACAATTTCTGCACTCAACCGCATCATTTATCATCACTCGTTTTACTGCACTTTCTGAAGCGGTACCGAGTGCTCTGAGAGCAATCTAGGAGTTTGATTCGACTTTGAAATAAAAGCAATGCAATTACTACCTGGAATAATCGAATCTAATCTAATCTAGTCTAATCCTATCCGATATAACTCATCCATTGATATACTCTCGCAAGACAAAGGGAAATCCAAAACACCAAATCGTACCGCACCTCAGTAGCTATCGCGAGTGCTCAGGGAGTAATCCTAACAACTATTAAAAGGTTAGTGACAATTCCGCAGGAAGGGAAGTTAGAGATTATACCGAAGGGAACTAATGATGCCCACCACCATCACCACCACCACTATCACCACCGCCTCCAGCTGGCCCACCACCACCACCACCACCGCCTCCAGCTGGTCCTTCACCACCACCGCCGCCCGGGGGAGGAGGAGGTCCGCCCGGAGGCAGTGGAGGTCCTAGACCACCACCACCATCACCACCACCACCACCACCACCACCACCACCACCACCTCCTCCAGCACCACCTCCTCCTCCTCCAGCACCACCTCCTCCTCCTCCAGCACCAGCAGCCGCGAGTGCGTCAGCAGCTCTCTTGGCTGCTATCCCGGCAGGTGTCCAGTTCGTCCCCTGTAAGAAGTTTGGGTCAGCAACCCCGACACCCAAAGGATACTTCCTAAGGTATTTGGGGTCTAAATCGTCGATAGCATCCTGCTGCCTATCGCGATGCCTAAGAGTCTGAATTAGCCTTTGATTACTGGCATCAGTTCTAGGCATATATACCCTCAATCCTTTGGCATTTATCCGGTGCTTTCCCTCCTCGTAATCCGAATCCTCTGCAGGAATATCGATCATGCTATAATCATCTTCCTCAACGTGAGGGAAAGCCGGGTTCAACGGGGGGGATCCCGCACCACCCAGGTTCGGAACCACACCTGCTCTGTGGAGAACCACCAATATTCTCCGAGGCCTGGCATTGCTGTTCTTCAACCAACCTTCGAGCTCCTCTGAATCGGTAATTTGTACCTCCACCGGCCGAACGGGAGGAACAGCTGCTGGGGGGACATTCTCAATTGCCCCCCAAATAGTTCTGACTGCTCTGCCGGCTGCGGTGTGCTTCAGGATCATGTTGCATAGCTCAGGGAAAGTTATTTTGGTCAAAATTCTGATGAACGAAGGTTCGTTCAGGGGATCATTCCAGTCATAAGTAGGTGGTGGGACGGGGATAAAGAATGCCCCTAGAGCATCAGGGTCCACCATGGTAACCATTATGGAAGGTCGCATGAGTTCCGGAGGTACTGCACGCTCTTTCCATTTGCGTGAGCGTCTTCCGGCTGCCTGACCACCGCTGTCATCATCATCATCACTATCACCGGCAGCCTCTTTGAACTGACGGTCTCCCTGTCCCATTGATAACTTATCCTTCATACCAACATCCGCGATGAGCCACTGTAGAGCACTCGCCAGTGCTCTACGGGCATCGGATTCACCCTCATTGTAACGGGGACAGTCTTTCTACGTATCGCTAGAATCCGATAGAAAGATGTGGCCGTTCAAGATAGAAATCAGGTTTAGATTATTCCCAAAAGATTTATCGCTAATAACTCAATAATCTTTAAGGGCTCTGATACCGAGTAGAAAGTACTTGATAGTTCTGATGAAGACTGGAGAATCGGACAGTTGGGCGGGAAGGATCCTGAGTACTTATACTCCAAAGGATTCCGTTCCGCTGCTCCTACTTCCTTACTAAGTTCCGGTAGTACCTTCTAGCAGAAGGGAAGCAATACCACCGCTACCCCGCTTCTCTCTAAGCGTTAGCGGGTGCTTCCGGTTCCGAGAGCAACCACCCTTAGTCAAAGCCTTTGTAACACCTGCAGTCTTGGTTGTCGCACAACCGGGACCTGCATGAATGAGCTGCGGCTCAGGCGTAAGCTTAATCATTGCTGTAGAGCTCTTCGCTTATTGTAGACTTCCCAGGCATAGTCCCTTTCCACTACCGGCGGACTTATCATACTCAGAGGATATAAAGGATCGCCGAGCACTCAGAGCTTCACTCTGGCTGCCCTTCTAATCATTGTCGAGACATAGACTCGTCAGTCATTACCCCCAAGAATATATCCTCTTCCTAGCGCTCAGAATGTAGTTACTCTGACAGCTGGTAGCTAACCACACTGCGGTACTTGCATGTCACTGTGCAATTGGCTTCTAACAATAACTCTCAGCATGTAACCGGGCCCTGCGTGTACTCCTACACCAGACAGTTGAAGTGGCTCCGTTACACTACTCCCCTATTCCAGGATCTTGGTCTCTGAGATCTTTAATCTATAACGTCTTTATTCTATGCAATACTATATGACAAAGAAACTCCTTTGGCGTGGAAGGGACGAAAATCGAAGGAATGCTACTGCTTCAGAGTCCTTCTGTCTCTTGGCTTCTTAGGATACCTCATATGGAAATCCCGGAGGGCTTCTTCAGCACTCTTCCTGAGATGTTCCCAGGGTTCCCATGTAGCGTCCTCGTTCTCGTATCCTTCCCATAGCACCAGGTATTCTACCCTTCTCCTCTTCTTATTGACCCAGCTAACAGCTACTTCCCGGACAGTCCAGTTCTGTTCTCCTGCAATTTCCTCAGGTTCCGGTGGAGGAACTCTTCTCTCAGGGTCTACTGGCACTCTGTAGGGTTCTAGGAGAGAGACATGGAAGACCGGATGGATTCCCATCTGCGGAGGAAGAGAGAGCTTGTAGGCACGGGTACCATTAGCTTCTAAGACCTTGAAGGGTCCGATCTTCTTCTGATCCAATTTTCCCAATGGCCGCTTTGTTTGCACATTGCGCCGGTCTAGCATGACTTCATCTCCAGGCTTGATTTCAGGCGGTGGCAGGGCATGTGTATCATACCACCGGGCCATCCTTAGTCTAGCCTTTCCCAAGCTTGCATTCATAGCCTGCCAGATAGATTCTGTAACGGGGGTGCCTTGAGAGGGCGCGACCGGGACTTCGATCAGGTAGATAGGCAGAAAGGAATTCGACAAGCTATCCTTTCGGCTCGTTCGATGGAAAGATAGAATTTCATTTGTTTTGATCGTTATTTGTAGTCTAGAAACTTAATAACTTTAAGGGGGCTCCTCGCTGGTAAAGACTCCCTGATCTCCCCGAAACCAAGCTGGGGCAACCGAGTTCCTTTATGGAAGTTCGGCGCCCCTTCCTTCATTACCTCTTTCCTTTTTTCACTGGCCGTCCGCCTTTCAAATAATCTGGGGCACCGCCTATTTTCTATCAGGGGGGGAAGAGAAGAGTTGCTACCACACCGCGGACGAATTTTCGTCCGAGTCAAATCTCGCAATCCTTGCCAAGAAAGGGTCGGGATCCTAGGAACTAGAGGAAACAGCCGACCAGACAGCAATTGCTTATTCAGAGTATTTAGAATAGATTTGGGTGTTTTTTAAAGCAAAGGTTTGCTTTGGTAGTTTGGGTCGCACTCTTACTCCCCCCAAAGATGCACCGGGCTGAAACAGGAGGGTTCCGGCGGTTCGACGCTCCGGGGGTTCTTTTTGGGGTCTAAAACGTGTTTATTTTGCAGTGTTTCCTCAACTCCGCAATGCGTTCATTCAACCACCCCAAATGGACCGGAGCATCGCCAGGATCCTTTCTGACGTGGTAAAGCATTTTTTCCGGGCATCGGCTGCAAAGTTATTGCGCCTCAAAGGTTGAATGCCAAGGTAGGGTAACTTATGTTTGGGGTTACCCTTCCTTATTTGGTCTGCTCGTCCTGCTGCTCTAGTTTTGGTCCAGTCGTCTAGCTTGACTTGTAAGACTTCTTGCTCGCCAGGATCTCTACCCTCTATACCAATAGAGGTAGGGGCTCATCTGCCCTTCTCTTCACCCATCGATGAAGAACCAGCTGCGGTTAACCTAGGGCCGTATGGCTTGACTGGTAGAACAGGTATTTTTGTAACAGCCCTACTGTGGCCCTGTTACACTACTCCTCCCTCCGGTAGACTCGTCCCGAGTCTAACCTAGGGTTTTTTGGTATGGTACGTTATGAGCATACAAGAAAATGTAGCTCTAATAATCATTCCATACAAACTAAATGTAACGGGGACAGCCTTTCCTCGTATCGCTAGAATCCGAGAGAAAGGATTTGGCCGTGCAAGATAGAAATCAGGAAATCGGATAGTTGGGCGGGAAGGATCCTGAGTACTTATACTCCAAAGGATTCCATTCCCTGCTCCTACTCCCTTACTAAGTTCTGGTGATCCCTTCTAGCGGAAGGGAAGCAATACCACCGCTACCCCGCTTCTCTCTAAGCGTTAGCGGATGCTTCCGGTTCCGAAGGCAACCACCCTTAGTCAAAGCCTTTGTAACACCTGCAGTCTTGATTACCGCACAACCGGGACCTGCATGAATGAGCTACCGCTCAGGCGTAAGCTTAATCATTGCTGTAGAGCTCTTCTCTTATTGTAGACTTTCCCAGGCATAGTCCCTGCCACTACCGGCGGACTTATCATGCTCAGAGGATGTAGAGGATCGCCGAGCACTCAGAGCTTCACTCTGGCTGGCCTTCTAATCATTGGCGAGGCATAGACTCGTCAATCATTGCTCCCATGAATAGATCCTCTTCCTAGCGCTCAGAATGTAGTTACTCTGACAGCTGGTAGCTAACCACACTGCCGGTACTTGCATGTCACTGTGCAACTGGCTTCTATCAATAACTCTCAGCATGTAACCGGGCCCTGTGTGTACTCATACACCAGACAGTTGAAATGGCTCCGTTACACTCTATTTTTTTTTTTTTTTTTTTGCATCCATTTCTATTGACAAAGGAAACCTCAAGTGAAACGTGTGACCTAACAAGGGGAGACTCGTTTTCTCCACGCTTATCCCAGAACACTCCGTCGTCTCGGTTTCCCGCACTTTCCTGTATTACCATGCGTCCCATGATTTTCGGGGATACTTCGCATGGAACTCTCGGAGTGGCTCGTCTGCCATTCCTTACAACAATTTGTACGGTTCCCAAGAGTCTTCTGAGAGATAACCCTCCCAGGTAATCCGATATTGCACGAACTTCTTCCCACGACCAGCCTGCTGTCATTGGCTATCGGCTATTTTGTTGAGAACGTAACTGCCTTCCCCTTGAACCTCATCCGGAGGTGGAAGCAGTATAGCTCGTTGAGGGTCCAGCAGAGATATATGGAAGATATCATGAATGTTCCACTGAGTGGGTAGATTCAGCCTGTAGGACGCGACGCCAAGTTTCCCGACAACCTCAACGGGACCCATTTTTTTTTTTGGTGGTCTAGCTTATTTGAGGGTCACTTGGTTAAGATGTTGCATCGGTCCAGCATCACCTCGTCCCTAACCTTCAGTTCTGGAGCACTCATCTGTTTCTGATCATACCATTTTTTCTGCTGTGCTTGTGCCGCGCTGGACGCGTCGAAGTTGTCTAGTTTCCGTTTAAGTGAGGGCCAAGTGGAATCTGGTTGAAACCTATAGTTCGCGTAGAATGGCGATGCTTTGGTTGACTCTTGGGTGGCCGTGTTGTAGGCGTACTTGGCAAGCGGGAGTAACTCTGCCCAATCGTCCCGCTGACAGAAACAATAGTTTTTTGAGATACTGTTCTAGCGTTTGGTTGACTCTCTCAGTTTGCCCGTCAGTTTGAGGACGATATGTTTCGAATCTAGAGTCCTGATCGGAGATAATCTCCTCAGGAAGTCCATGCAGTCGCCGTATCTCCCGGAGGAAGATTTTGAGCAAGTTCTTCGATGGTTGCTTTGGTGATAAAGTCCATTGAAATGGAACTCCAAGGAATAGAGAGGACCTCTAAAGGTTGCAACATCCCTTTCTTCTTGTGTGTTTGAGGCTTTAGCGCGTTGACATGTATCGCAACTCTGAACGTATTCTTCCACATCGTTGTCCATCTTTTGGCAAAGGACAGTGCCCGAAGGCGTTCTGCCGTTTTGAATTGTCCAAAGTGACCAGCAGTCTTCGAATCATGTAGGGCGCTCAGGATCTTGAGCTTCAGTTCCCGATGATTTGGAATGTACCACCTTTCCTTATAGAAGACGTGTCCGTCCTTTAAAGTCAGGTATCGGTTCACCAGATTCCCAGAGGTGTTCTCAATGGCTTTTTTCAAAGAGAGGTACTCTGGATCTAAGGCTGCTTGAGCCCAGATTTCATCCAGGGGCACCGGTGTGAGTTTGCAGATTTGGGCTGATCTTGCACATGCTGAGTTGATCATAACGATCGGGTGTTGGACAGAACCCATTATAAGTTGTCCTGGCTTAAACAAGAATTTCAGGGTCTTGATGAGCCTTACCCCCCTCTTTAAGGGCGTGGTCCCAACGCCGCGACAAGATGTCTGGTTTGGCGTTTTAGTTTTCCAGGGCGGTATACAACTTTGAAGTCAAACTCCGCGAGGTTGGCCGCCCATCGAGCTTATCTCGGTTTCAGCGCCCCCCCCTTTTTTTTTTTTTTTGCTGGTTGGTGACGACCGTGACCGTATCTTTGTAGGAACGCAGAAGGTGACTCCGGGGTGGTGTACCTCTATGGGATTCCGGGGACAACCCCTTGGCGAACCCAGGCTGGAGGAAACCCAGAGGTGTAACGGAGGTAAAGCGAGCCCAACTCATGCCTAGGTTCGGAAATATGGGAACTGAGGATCTTATCATCCACTAACTGACCCTTGGCTGTGAGGGTAAGGGCCTTCCATTGGGCTGCCGCATCATCCCTAGAGATAGCTTCGCCAAAGGCTGCTCTGAGAGCATCCACAAAGGAATCCCAGCACTTCCATTTCTCATCTAACACCACAGACATCCCAGCTATCCGGTTGGCAGAAGCTTGGTCAATGGAGCTGTGGTAAGCCTCATACCAGTTGGCTGGGGCTTCTCCTTCCATCAGGTTACCAGCATATCGGATCCTAACCTCTTCGTAGGTAAAGAACTGGCTTTCAATGGAGAAGACATTCTCACATTGCCTGATGAAGGTCTCCACATTGTTTGCTTTGCCATTGAACTTGGCCTGAGGGTGTGCCTTTGGTTCTCGGGCCCTGGAGGCAGCGGAGGGGTGTGAGGGGGCCGGAGGTCTCATGAACTGTGTCATGGAGGCCAGGAGCTCTGTCTGCTGCTTCTCCAGCATCTTCCTGAGGTATCTCCGCCATCCTCTCCTATCTCCATACTCAGGCTCCGAATCTGAACTATCTGAGTCCCCTCCCGGGTTGGGATCGCCACCAACCGGGGGGACTATTCCATTTTGTCCACCATTACCCGCTGGTTCTGGGTTCTGGTTTTTCTCCACCGGGGGTTTCCCTCCGGCTGGAGGTTTCTCCTGGGAGACTTCGCTCGTTGAAGCATGACACAATGGCACCTAACTCCTTGTCGTGAACGTCATAATTCCGTTCGGCTTGTGACATCATTTTGGAGTAAAAGACTCCTGGATACCACTTGTTGTCATCTCGGTGGAATTGGGACGGTATGCTAGATTTAGCGAAGTTGGAGGCATCGGTCTCAATCTTGGTAGCTAGCTCGGCATCAAAGTGGGCTAGTACGGGGGCGATGGAAGGCCTCTTTCAGGACTTCGAACGCATGCTCCTATCCCTCAGACCAGGTAAACTTGGTGTCCTTGTCTCCTTCCACGGTTAGTGCCGGGTTCGGTTAAAGCCGGACCGAACTC